TCCCCAGGAAGCGGGATGCTGCGTGATGGGATGGAGTGGGATGGAGAGGTCCTGAGGGCACCTGGGCTGAGGAAAGCTCCTAGAAAGAGCCAGCCCAGCTTTGGAGTGAGCAGTTCCCACACACAGCTCGGCACGGAGCTCCCTCCTGCTCTTGGTGCTCCTGGGAGAAACCTTACCAGTGGGAACAGCGCGGAGCAGGCGGGCCGAGGCTCAGTGCCAGGGAATGGATCCAGGGAGTGAGGTCAGAGGGTGGGACGCAGCTTTTGGGCACACGTGCCAACCCCCGAGCTCTTCCCTTCCCACTCTTTTCCCATGCTGCCCTCCCCATGGACCTGCTGGCACACGCAGCCAGTGGGTTTCCCCCCAGTTCGCTGCTGCATTGATGGGGCAGCGCATCCTGCTGGCACAGCCCCATGTGCAGAGCATTAGTGAGATGCAATTGACTGCCCTGGTGCTTATTGCCAGGGGGAGTTAACAAGGTTAATCACCAAGTCCTGAGTCATAAAAACAAACCTATATGAAATAAAAGACCATCGGGTGATTCATTGGTGGAAGTGCCTCCCCTGTTCCCAATGAAAGCGCTCTCAGCCATCTCCATGGCGTTGTTCCTTTCACTTCCATGGCTTTAACTCACAGACCATCACTGGAGCCCCAGGACCCACTTCAGATGGGGTGCTGCTACTGCAGGAATAGCTCATCCCAGGTCAGGGGCACAGCCTCAGTGCCTATAGGTGCCATCTGCAATAAGGCCGCAGCGATGCATCGCTTTTTTCCCCCTCTGGTCCTCTCCACTTCTTTCTGTCCCATCTAAAGGTGGGCGGTCTGCATCCAAACACGTTTATGTTGTTGTTTTTTGGTTTTCTTTTTTGATGGTTCACTTCAAACATTTCTTCACTCAACCTCCCAGGTGTCTTCTGAGGCTGCTCAGTCCTTTCTGAGTGTCACAGCAGGCTGAATCACTGTGCTGTGTGCACGAGGCACCTTCTCACAGCACACATCCCTACCAGATGTTCTGCAACAACCCCAAACTCCAGAGCTTGACTCCCAAGGAGCTCTGCCTGCATTCACAGCAATAAATCCCTCTGGCAGTCAAAACTTGGCTTGGAAGGAGCTGGGGCTGGGCTGATGGTTGGCTTCTGGGAAGGTGGCCCACGGGTGAGCAGAGGGGTCCCCACTCCTCGTGCAGGATCTGGGCAGCCATGGGTACCCTCCATAAGCTCCCTAAGCTCCATCCTTGGACGAGCCCTGGGTTTGGATGGAGCTGTTTCAGACAGATCCTCTCTTTCACTTCGTTATGCAGCGCGAAGAGGGAACGGCTTCCAAGCTTCTGCCAGCACCAAATGTGTGTTTGCACAGATTGGAAAGGTTACCTGGTTTCGCTCCATCTGAGATGGGTTATTTACTATAAATATGTTTGCGCTGGAGTCGTGAAAATTAAGGCATGTTGATTGAAAACCTTACAGCAGATGTTGGGGCGTCCCCCAGGAAACTGTCAGAGGCGTCTTTTGGTAGCATGGAAGTGACACTTGCTGCAGAAACAGTTTGGGAAAGGAGCTGTGCTGGGGGGGGGGGTTGTGCTGCTGGCAGGATATCGGGTCCCCGTTTGATGCATTAGGCAATGTGTTAAATTTTAATCAAAAGCACATTTATTATACATGCTAGTCAAAAAAAGAAGACAGAAACAGCAACCAGCCGGGGCTGCTGCTACTCATCAGCTTCCTTAGAAATGGCTGGAGAGAATGGGGAGTGCGTGTGGGCAGCAGGAGGACTCTGAATGGTGCTGCTGTTAGCGCTGCTGACCTGAGAAAGGAATAGGCTTTCTTCTCCAAGAGAGCAGTGATGCACAGCACAGCTGCCCAGCGGGGTCACCATCCCTGGAGGTGTCCCAGAACAGTGGGGATGTGGCACCGAGGGACGCGGGGATGGCACAGCGGGGTGGGCTGGGGTCAGAGTGGTGGAAGAAGGAGCGGGGTGTCCGTGGCTCTGGGGGGGACTGCAGGGGAGCAGAGGCTGTGGGCTCGCTGCTGGGAGTCACGTTCTTTGTGCGGTGCGGGGCCACGTGGGTTGATGGGGGCTGGAAATAAAGCAGGCGGTGATTTATGGGGAGGGGGGAGGGCTGCTCGTAAATCAGGTAATGTTTGGGAGGAGGTGAGGTGGTGATGCAGAGATCTCCGCTTTCCGATGCAAAGCCGGGAAAGGAAAATTAAGAAGAAAGAAATGAACGGGGAAGAGCTGGTGGGAGGAGAGCAGGCCTGGGATCAGGTATCTCGCTGTCAGTGGGAATGGTTTTCAGCGAGAAAATGATTGCAAACTGCTGCATGAGTGGGATTTCACCTTGTCAGATGGAACATAAAGCTGTGGGAAGGGCTGGGCGGGCTGCAGCCATCATTGGGCAGATGCTGTGCGCAGCAGCACGCTGGTTTCTGCGTCCCCTGCATGGATGCTGTTAAAGATAAACAAAGTACACAGCCTGCATCGCGTGGGAATCTTCATGGAAAAGCTGTTCCTCTACGTATGTGCCTTCCCTGTGCAATGCCATCCAGAAATGGGTATCTCAGAGGATGCTCGGGGAGGGGGTGAAGCAGGAGCCACAGCTCTGCCAGGGTGACCACGAGCCATGTGGATCCAGAGGGAATTTCTTCTGCACATCAGGTTGACGATGAGCTTCTTCAAACTGCACAGCCTGAAGGCACACAGCGCCCCGTGCCCAGCTATTCCCTAGATCTGACCCAGACCCAGAAGATGAGCACCATGTGGAAGGAAGCAGCCACTTGAGTTCTGCTGGGGACCAGCAGAAATTGCAGGCTGGGTTATAAACACATATAAATATAATAAGAATATAAGCATGGTGTGTTTATATTACAGACTGATACAACATAAACATGCTGTGGTTTATGGCCTGCCAGCATCTGTCGAGCCCCCAGATGATGTTTTCTCTCCTTATGCATCTCTCTTTCTCCCTGGGCCACGGGGAGGTGCCCAAATCAGCCACTTGGAGTCCTTCACCGTTACATTTTAATGTCAGCGCTGTTGTTTCCCCACTCCCAGGACTGAATTGAGGTGAACTTGAATAGCCCAGAGAGCCTGGCTCCCTGCAAACTTTCTTCCTCCAAAGCACTCCTGTGCACCGCATTATTGAAAGCATTTCCTCTGTCTCCATGCCAAGCACGCTGCGGCTTTCTCTAGCATTAATGAGCCTAGGTCAGAGCTAGCTAAGAGAGGTCTTGAAACGCAGCCTTCCAAATTGGCTCTGCTCTGTGCCCATGTGAAGGCAAAAGGGCGAAGGGAGGCTGTGAGGGCTGGGATGAATGGGGGGATTGTGCCCAGCTCCTAACCCCAGCACGGCCCCGATGCGCTCTGCTCGGCGTTCAGCCCTGCCCTGTCCTTGGGGCTGCGCTGCATTCTGGATATCTCTGAGCCCAACAACCCCCTTCGTGCTGCACCACAGGAACTCTGTGTTAATTAGCTGTAAGGGACAGACGAGCTGCCTGGGCTGGGGTGCTGTGGGATGAGCTGTCTGCAGCCGGCGTTGCATAATGTGGGTATTTTTAGCACTGCTGTGCTCATCCCCACCGGATGCAGCAAAAGAGAATCAACTGTGCCGAGTGACAAACAATGCCCAGACCTCACGGGAGGAGGGATGGAAGAGCAGGAGGAGCCTGAACTGGGCTCCCCAGTGTCTGCTTCCCTGCAGCTGCCAGGCTACAAGGGCAGCATGCAGCCAATGGTGGCACCAGCTCTATGGCTTCCCGTGCCACGTTTCCACTTGGCCGTCCCAACACAAGCGCTGGTTCAATGATGCCATTTGTTAAGACTCTGCCATTGACCTGAAAGATGGTGGCCCTGCATTACCCTGCTGGTACACAAAGCACACAACACGTTCTGCAACAATGTCTAGGATTGGATATTAGGACAAATTTCTTCTCTGAAAGAGCAGTGATGCACAGCACAGCTGCCCAAGGAGCGGTGAGGTCACCGTCCCCAGAGGTGTTCCAGAGCCATGGGGATGATGGAACTGAGGGATGTGTTGATGGGCACGTTGGGGTGGGCTGGGGTTGGACATGGGGATCTGACTGGTTTTTTCCAGCCTTAGTTTGCAGACTGTAAAACCTGCATCTTTGCAAGGACGTGGCCCTCGTTGCATCAAATGGCTGAGACGATGCGCTGCAAGAAGTTACCCCCTCCAAATTAAAATTAGGGTAATTCTGACTTGTGGAAGGGCATCATCTGCTGGCAGACCTGTGTGTGTGTTAGAAAGACCTTCCCAGCAACGTGTTTTCAGGGAAATGAGGCTTTCCCAGTTGGCAATCACAGCATTGCTCATGCCTGACAAACTGGCAACGTGTGAGTAATTATCTAATTAACCTCCACTCAGCAGAGGCAGTAGCGACGCATCCCTCCTGCTTCACTAAAACTGCCCATTTCCCAGTGGGTTTTGGTAAATTAGGAGGGAAAAAGAAAAAAAGAGGAGGAACAGCCTCCCATGCAGGGAACCAGACGTAGCAACACCGGTGACGTGCCACAATCGTGATGAAAGGGGCTGAAGCAAGGACTAACAAGGCTTTTAGATCTGAGGGGACACCGATGGCCATGGCAAGGCAATAGCAACGTGAAGAGAAGAGACTGCCAGGCCCTGGCTGCACAAGCAGGTCCCATGGAGGAGGTGATGGACGTGAGCTGCAGAGCAATGCTGAGGAAAGCGATCCGGTATGGATGGGAGCAACCAGCCCTGGGTTGGCCAAAGTCAACCTCGGGTCAGCAGGAGGACCAGGACAGCCCACATCTCAGGCACGTTAGAGAAAGAAGATCCATTGGAATTGGAGAGATGCTGTGTGAGGACTGCAAGGTTACCAAAGGAGATGGCATTTATGTAAGAGATAAGTGACAGAGGACATCTGTGGGCTGGAAGGGACCATGGGCAGAGGGAGATGCGCTCAGGGGTTTAAAGAAATTTTGGCAGCTTCTTTCCTCCTCTTTTTCTCCCCGTGGCAAAATGCTAAATGCGGAAAGCAGAAGGAATAAGAGATCCTGAAGGTTCTTAGGCATAAAGACGAAACCACAGCGTCGTGTCAGTAGAATCATGGAACAAATCAGGTTGGAGCAGACTGTGTTTGGTCTGACGTGACGCGTGGGAAGCTCCGGGTGGGAGGAAGAGGTGTCTGGAGGTCTCTGGTCCCATTCCCTGCTCAGAGCAAGGCTATCTGCTGCACAGGGGATGCGTGAGCATGCAGTGAGAGACCAAAATGAGATTGCAAACAGCAGCGCTTTCCGGCTCCGGTGATGCTCATTATCACTCAGTGCAATGCCTTGCTATAATTAAAGCGTGCCTTCCATGTTGTGATTAATTTCTTTTCTAATTAAGTGAGCTACGTGGTTACAGCTTGTTATTCGTGGGCAATTAGCAACTTTTCCTTCCTTTGTGTATTTAATATGCCATATTTATGTTTGTGCTGTGTTCCAATGGCCCCACGAGCACTGCTTGGACCACTTGAAGGATCCTGGTGGGTCCCATTCCAAAGAGCAGCTCCTGAAGGTTGGGACAAGGTGATCTTTGAGGTCCTTCCAACCCAAGCTATTCTATGGGCCTGTGATTTATGGAGGAAGGGTTCTACTGCTGGGTTTCTCCTGAATCATCACTATTTTTAGAGTGGAAAAAAAACCCCACAGAGCCCTGAGTTTGAAGCCATCCCATTCTGGGTGGATGAGTGCAGCAGCTTCAGCAGGGATTGTTCAGCAGGGATTGCTCCAGGGAGGCTGCCCAGGAACACAGAGGGCACCACAGAACGGTGGCAGAGGAAGGGACAGGAGACACCCCCAGTCGATCCCCTCGCTCAAAGCAAGACCCAGTTTGAAGCGAGACCCCATTGCCATCAAGGCCAGCTTCTTCAGAGGCTGAGCCAAGTCTGCAGGCTGGAGGAGGTCACACAGCCCAAATCGATGCCAGCTGGTGCTGTGCTGGTTTAACTGGGAGAACTGCCTATGGAACAGCTGGCCCTGGAAGTCTACAAAACCCTCCATAGTGAGAGCGCTCCATCCCTGCTCTCAGCTTCTCTCCTAAACCAGCCACGACCTGCAGCCCCATCCTCAGCAGAGCCTCAGTGCCCCACCAGCCCCAGGGAGCAGCTTTTGCCCTCATGGCAGAGACCCTCCAGCCCCACTCTGTCTCCCCACAATCCCTGGGCTCACAGGCTCTCCTCCAGCCCGTTAGCACAAGGCTTCCTTTCACTCCCTCCTCACAGCGACGTGCCTGGGCATTTATCTGCATCACTGCTTTGTGCCCCAGGGCCACCCACACCACATAGTTTTCCACAGCTGATGCTCAGCACACAGAACAGCTTTTGCTTTCTGTAGGGTTCTGCTGTGAAATGCCTCCCGTGGGCTCTCCTGGCTCATTCAGACTTCACCTGTCGGGGCTTCTGGAGTATTTATACCAGATAATTTCAAGTCACTTCACACCCTTCTGTGTCACGGTGCTGCTTTTCTCTACAGTGTATTATTATTCCATCACTTTCAATAATAGATCAGCAACAGAGCCATTACTCAGCACAGCTGCCACCTAACTGCTGTGCCACCAGGCTGGGTGCTCTCTGCAGGGCCTCACAGTGCTCCTCTGCTGTTCATCACTGCTCGCTGTTCCAGGGGCACCTTCCTGGTCCCACTGCATCCCACAGCCACCCAGGCCAGCAATCAGCAGGCAGATGTGGCCTGGAGCTCATCAGACATGCTCATGTGGAAAAAATGCCTCCTGTTTATCCCTGTGCAGAGACACTGCTTCCTGAGCTGTGCTTTTTTGCCTTAAATACAACGCCCCGGTGCAATGACATCGGAAGAAGCTGGAGCAGTTTGCAACCCATCCAAGCCACGCTTGCCAGTGCAATGAGATCACCCAGCAATTGCTCCCTGATTTGCTTTCTGTGCCATTTCTGTTCATTGCATCCATGGGCAGAGCAAAGCAGGGAGGGCACCAAGCACGGGCAGCCCTGGTGCTGCAGGTGGGAGATGCGGCCTCAGAGGAGGATGAGCCTTTCCCCTTCCTTTAATTTAAAATTACAGGTGCTCAGAGATGAGCGTGCGGCTCCAGGGAGTTCTCCATCCGAAAAGCTGCTGAGTGGATAAGTGGTTTGAAATGGTTGATAGGAAAACTGGGGCCCGACGCTCTGAGGAGGAGGAGTTGTGATGCCTTTCCATTTGAAGAAGCGCTCAGCAGCGAGCGAGGAGATCAGCAGAAGCAGCAGCAAAATTGTTTGAAGTCCTCTAAGTACATATAAATGCATATGGCTGTACGGGCAGGGAGAAAAAAGGGGAGGAAATGAGAAGGCTGCTTTATTTTTTTTCCTTCTCTCCATGGGTAGATGAGCTTAGTTTGAACTTCTCATCAGGTTCTGTAATGAGGTTTTATCCCCTTTTCTTTGGAGGTGTCAGTGGGATGAGGATTTTCTTCCCCCACTTTCAGCAGCCCTGCTCTATCTCCCACCCCGATGCTGTGCTGAAGCACTTCACCTGCTTCTTTCTGCATGCCTCCATTTACATTCTCAGTCCCAGGCTGCTGTGTGTGCCTTACACAAGCTCTGAGCCCAGTGCCTTCCAGAACCTTTTCCCACCCATTCCTGCTGCCCCTGCTCCAACAGAAGCAAGCCATAGGGACCAGCTGTGAGACTCTGACTCCTCTACCAAGCAAACTTGGCTGTGAGCAGTCCCTGGGGCCAAATCCTGCTCAGGTTCCTTTGCTGCCCTACCAACGAGGGATGCTCCCATCAGCTGGCTCAGAATGCCCGTGTGAGGTTGCTCTTGGTTGGTCACCCCCTTTCCATAGCAGGGCAGCGGTTGTGGAGCTGGCACTGAGCAGAGCTGGGTTCATCCAGGGACACAGCAGAGGCACTGCTCCTTCCCATGCGATGGAAACAACTCCTATTCCAAGTGCCTCAGTCCATTTCAGCATTCGTTTTCCTGCACTCATGCTGCATGCCAAGCACGCTGCTCCCCACTCCACGCATTCAGCTCAAGGCCTCCTCTCTAATAGCCTTGGTTTTACCTGTGCAAAGCAAAGAGATCTGGCTGATGGCTCAGGAGATGCAAGGGATGCTGCATGGCATTGTCATCATAGAGACAAATCCTAATGGCATCCTGCAGATGGATGTGAGAGCAGAGGAGGTAATGATGTCCCAGGGCACACCCCTCCATGCTACGCTCCCATGTACCATTAAGTCCTGTGCACACTCCAAGATTAAAAAGAGAGCAGTCTAATTAGAGCCTACATAAATTTGGATCTCCTAAAATATGACTGATTAATAATGCATCATACTCCAGCAACAAAGAGCTGTAAATCCCCCTTGCCATGGCACAGCATGCTGCATGCCATACCAGGAGCTGCCAGCAACTCCAGGCTCCTAAATCACATCCTAAATCACATTTGCTTAGGTTCATCTCCAATAAACCAGAAAGCCTTAATTCTCTGAGTTCAATAAATAACATGTCTGTCTTGAGCACAGCAAGTAATTCATTGCCTCCCATGCAACCAATGGTTCAAAGAGCCTCGTTTAGAGCTATTTACAGGGGATGACTCTCCCATGTTCTAGGGCTGATGGTGGAGTCTCTCATTTGCCAATTACTGGGTAAATCTGACCATTAATTAGAGGAATAATCACCGCTTCACGTCCCTGCAGTCATCCTAACGTGGAAGAAAACAGTCATTCTGCTTGGGTTGCGGGAGGATGCTGGGCTCTAATTGGGTCCCAGACACAGAGAACAGGAGCAGGGTTCTGAGGCTGCTTTGCACACTGAGCCCATTGTGAAGAGGTCACTGTCTGGCTCTGGTGATGCTCACCAGGAGCTGGGATCTTGCTGCTTGGTGGCCTGCTCCTGCCCCCCAGCAGCCAGCAATGGGGATGCACCCCCCAGCCATGGTGCGTGCTGCTGGTGCTCTGCTGAAGGAAGATGGATGCTCCAGCTGCAGGCTAACAGCTCTTGGCTGGGCGATATCCAGAGACAGAGTATTATAAATAACAGGAGATGAGCAGCACTGTTGGTGCTTCAGACTCCTCTGATGTGCTCGTTAATGTCTGCAAATGAGCTGCACTCAAGTGTTTAGCAACATCAAGTTGCAAATGTCGCCAACAGAGAAATCTAAATCTTTAACTGATTTTAAAAGGCTTTAAAATTGCAGGGCTCCCGTTCACACACAATCCAGAGGAGTGTAAATAACACACAACTTATTTTTGTGCTTCGCCCTTCATTGGGAAACAGGACAAAGCTCTGTACAGCTCAGTGCAGAAACTGCAGGGAGGAGAGGGAGAATTGGAAGGGAGACGCAGTGGAAAAAAGCACAGGCAGAAGACCAGGCAGGATAGAATGGCTTCATGGGAAGGGAACTCCATAGAGGTGTTGGAGAAGAGGTGGTTCCCTAGAGGCACGAGGGCAAGGAGGGTCTGAGCACTCCAAGAGCCACTTGCCTTCCATTGCCCTGCATTCCCACTGCGATTTGGCAGGTTTAGGGCTGCCCTTGCTCTTTGTCAAGCTTGGCAATAAGAGCATGCAAATTCCACCAAGGCATCCAAGATACTCCCATCTTGCTCCACAGCTGGCTGGCTGCCCCAGAGGTGCATCTCCATAGAGATGTCTTCACTGAGCCATCAGGCTCTGAGGAGGGCAAAGAAAGCTGAGCCTGCTGGATGTGGGAGTGAGAAAGTCTTCTGGCAGGAAAAACCTGGGACTGCAGCAAAGAGGAGAGCAGGGTCTCCTATGGCCCAACAGCTTAAACCTTCCTTGTTCAGATCATAAAAATCTGAGAATGATTACAGTTGGAAAAGAGCAAGGACATGAAAGCCAATGGTGATGCACATCCACCAGGTACAGATCTGCTATGGGGCCGGATCCCATTGCTTGTGAAAGTCTTTGAAGGCAGAGGTGGAGAACTTTGGGCCATTGGCAGCCCAGAGAGCGGCTGCCCTCATGATCCAGATTTCCAAAGGCATTGATGGCTCAGCGTTGGATGGGGCTTGGCCCAATGGCTCTTTGTCAGGGAACAGAGGTGGGGTGTCATGCAGATTTGTGGTGGGAGAAGTGAGCATTTGGAAGCATCTCTGTGCACTGAAGGAGGGGTCTGAAATCAACGAGAGAAGAGTCGGTAACGCAAGGGCAGAGAGCTGCTCTCAGAGGAAGAAAGGACAGAGCCCCACATGATGCAAGGAGGAATACCTGGCACTACAGCAGAGCTGCAGGGCTGGGCAGAAAGGCTTATAGGGGACAGCAAGCTTCACTCAAGGCTTCCTTACTGCGGGCTGGGCTGTCCTTACTCTCCAGTCCCTCTCTAGGCTCCCCAGTTGGGGCTCCCTGTTCTTGGATGATGGCACTGAGACTTCTTACGCTGCCTTTCCAGCATCCCAAGCTTTCATTCAGTCTTCATCTGCTCGGATCTCCTTCTTAAGAGATGGTGGAGGTTCCAGGATCTTTTTCCCCATAAAAGGTTTTTTGTGGTCCCTCTTAGCCTGGGCTACTCTACATCCTGCCGTTGGGATGAAACAGTAAAACAATGCAGCTGACCTTGCGCTTTGAACTTAGAGAAAATCCACAAAACACAGAATTAGTTCTCAAGAAAATATCACTACGGACACTCACTAAATGGAAATGGAAAAGGTGATGCCTCCTAAATCTTCTCCTGATGTGCCTCAAGGCTCTCCCACCAGCACTGCTAAGCATGGAGGCACCAAGAGAGCAAGCATCCAAAAGCAGTAGGTGAATTGGAAGGGGAATGCCCTGTTCCTTGCTAACTCCTGTTCATTTCTGACCTGTTACATGGCTTTCTGATTCTCTGGGGCATGTCTGCACAGCAGCAGCTCTGTTGGTGTCAGACAACCTGCCACACCAGCTCTTTTAGGTGCTAGGTTCCTCCGCTCCTCGCCCAGCTCCCAGGTTGTCCACCTCCAGCTTTCATCCAGTGTGCTATTCAATTAATTAAATACTCTCTCCTGCAGATTGCTGGCTGAGGGTGACACACGTTTAATGAACAGCTGCAGGTCCCTAATCACATTGGCAATTAGGAGTGTAATTAGAGCACTTGCAAATGGTTTTCATGCTGATAAAACATGACAGGATAGAACGCTTTCACTCACTGTCAGCTGTCAGGCAATCTGTTATCCATCTAATGGCAATTTAATTACAAATTCCTTCATCACCTTCATTTCCGGTTGCTCTGGGCTATGGCTTAGCATCTCTTGGGTCAAACAGCATGACCCAAGGAGTGGGATTTCAGGATGACCAAGGAGCTCTTCCCTCCACCTGCTTCGGGATGGAGGTTGTTGCAGTGGCCAAGAACCTGCCCAAAGGGTCGTGAAGCAGCCACAACATGGTGAAGGCTCCCTTCGTTTCACCTTTGTCTCCAAGGCTTCGTGAGCTAAGGCAGCACTGGGAATCAGTGCACACATAGGAGGATCTGCTCACCTCGTCTCTTGCAGACCAGAAGGGTCCCACCTCACTGGGGAACCGTGCAATGATGGTGGCCCCAAGGCTTCCGAAGTTCAAGGCACTGGGCTTGAATTTTGGGTGGTCCCATGTGAAGCCAGGAGTTGGATTAAGTGGTCCTTGTGAGTCCCTTCCAACTCAAGATATTATGTGATTCTGTGATACAGCTGCTCCCCATAACCATCTAAGAGACATCTGATGTGCCCCAGCCAACAGAAACCATTTGTCTCAAAGTCACACATGGAGACAGCGAGGAACAGAACAAAGGACTTCTAGTGACAACTTAATGACAAAGATCCAACAAGCAACTGCCACAGAACAGGTACTTAAAGACAATCTGTAGGGAAAGGCAGTGGCAGATAACCAGCTCTGAATTAGCCAATAAAGGGAGATGGTCACAATCCAGTTAAAGAAAGAAAGATTAGCTTACCTGCCCCAAAGACCAGGGCTCACCAGATACTCCACCAGAAGGGATCCCTGCATAGAGAACCTTCCCCTGGGGCAGCCAGCCCTTAAATGAGACTTAGGGAGGGGTGGAACCTGGTTCACACGGGTGAATTGCTTCCACCTGTGCTCCCAGGGCTGGCTGTGTCCCTTCCCAAGGTGCTCAGGCATTGCCTTGGCCATTTCCATACATGCTAGAACCCAAATGTCACCCGAAACACAGAACCCACCAAAAAGTGGTGATGCCTGCATGTAATGCTGGTGAATCCACAGAGGCAATTGTGGCAATTGCATTGCTCTCAAACCTTACAGCTGGTGCTTAATTCACCTGTTAAAGCTGCACTGATGCTGCAGAGCAAAGAGGCACAGGCTCTGGCTGCAGGTGCACCTGGATGGCCACGGGCCATGTCTCTGCTCCCAGTCCCATCCCTGGGCTGGCTGTGACTTTCTGGCTGCTTCTAAAGCTCCAGGGAGCTCACGCCTCCTCCCAGCCTTCATCTGACCCAATTCTTCCTCGTTGCCATGGAGAACTGGGCTCACTTGTGGTTTCCCAGCCTTGTTGTGTGCCCAGGAGTCTGGCACTGGTGGCACCGGTTGGGATTGGAAGTGCCTCTGCTTGTCCTGCTCTGCTGGTGTCACTGCTCGTGGATTTTGGGGTGCATTCAGCAGTTTGTCGGTGCTGCCCTGGGGTTACAAGAGGAATGAGGACATCTGTGTAGGACCATCCATTGTGATGCTGCACAGCAATCCTGCTGGTTGGGGTTGTCCCGAGCAGAGGACACAGGGTCTGTGTGTCCCCACCATTTCCCTGCACCTACTTCCCAGGCACCACAGACTTCAGAGGTGATCTTTGTCAGCGCCATTTCAGCCCTCTGTCACCCAGAAACACCTCCACGAGGGGCTGCCTGCTCTCACACCTTCACTCTGTGCTGTCTGTCATTGCGCGGCCAGGCCAAGGGATGATTTCTGCATGGCTCCTGGGTCAAGGGACGAACATTTTAGGGCTGCTACTTCAAATGAGAGCTTAAAATCCCAATTACGGCTCTACTGAGGAGGACTAATTTGAGGCCAGTTCAGACACCGCCGATCATTAACCCCATGCAGTCAATCAGGCATAATTTTCCATTCCAACCACCTTTAAAGCCACGTTTCTCTGTACCATTTTCTTCCCCCCATCCAGGAGTTAATTCGTCGGTTAAAGGAATTTCATTCGTGGTTTGAGGGACTGCAGCTTTTTATTCCCAAGCAGGATTATCCCATCCCCGTGCAATGGCTGTCATTAGCCAACCTCCACAGACGAGGCAGCCTTTTGATGTCACAAACCATATAAAAATAATAATTTGTGCTGTCTCTGTGCTTTGCAGCTTCCCTGTTGGAGGATGCTGGTGATGGAGCTTTTTTGCATCTCCTATTTCACGAACTCCTGGCTGGCTGAGGAAGCAATTTCCAGCTCGATTTGTTGTGCTTGTGACATGGAAGCCTTGTGTGTTTCAAAGCAGATTCCTGGAAAGCAGCGGCGAAGCCGATTTCATCTGCTCAGCAAAATCCTTTTTCTTTCTACGAAGCAACCTGCCACGTCAGTAATGGTTTTAAATTGACTTTCGCAGGTGCCCATCCACAAGAGATATTGTTTCCTAGAAACCAGAGGTTAATGGAGAAAGGCTTCAAAGGGAGCGAGGAGGGAGAAAAATCTCCTTGCTGCTCTGCGTAGCAGCAGCTGCTGGATGGGAATAAAGGCAGCAATTACGGCTGCTTGGTGGGCAGAGCAGCCTCTGCCCTGCGGAGATGAGGAGGGCAGCACGGGGCCATGCCCTGCTCATTGCTGGGAATGGCCCCACCAGTGGCATCTGCTCCCCAGGGCGATGGGGCAGTGTGTTCTGGCCATCCTGTGCCACGCTTCTGTTATTAGCACAGGGAGGAATCATCACTGCTAAAGGGAACAGTTTCCCTACTGGGGAAGAGATACCCTCTGTGGGTACGGGAGCCATGCAATGGTGGCCATGGGTGGCTGCAGCATTACCTCCGGTGGCACTGGGATTCACCTTAGGTGTTCTGCACCGTGTGAGGATTTGTCTTAGAACCATGCAAAAAAAAAAGAAAAGTAGAGAGAGAAAAAGAGAAAACTCGCATTGTATCTGTTTGGGTGGAGTCTAGAAGGAAATCTGGGAAACGTGGGGGCAAATGGAAAACCCACTCATGTTCTTTATTGTCTTTGCCATTAGAAAATGCCTTTCTGTGGGGATGGCTGGAAGCTTTTGATGGTGCAGCACGTATCCCAGCCTTGCTGTGTGCCTGTGGGCTCCAAACCCAGCGTTTCAGTGGGATCAATCTTCCAGCTGGGGTATTGCCAGGCTGCAGTGGCCCATGTTCAGTTTTCTCCCTCCCCCTCTTGCTTCAGGTGCCTCATGGAGGTCCCCCAAAGGCTGAGCTGTGTCCCTAGGCCCACAGCACCCCAGCTCCGAGCACAGCATCACCCTTCCTTTGGAATTACCCATCCAGAAGGAGGACTGAAGATGCACTGAAGATTGCACCCGCCGGAACCTCCCAGATGGCTGCAAAGCACTCGCTTGAACTTGAAAGGCTTGAGGAGCCATTAAATATGAAGGAAGGGTTATTTTTTCAGGAGCTGAAGCTTCTCTCCAGCCCTGCTGATGTCAGGAGCACAGCTCCAGGGGATGCTCAGGAAAGCAGCGTTAGGTTCATTTCCTATGGAGGCTGTTTGGAAACCCCACCTGCAGCATTGCAAGGGCACAGCTTTGTCATCGCCGAAGCCCCATAGTGCTGCACATCCTGCCCAGCTAAACCTACCCCTGCACGGTCACTCCTGTATTTAAGCTGGCCTGAGCTTCTGCACACACCGCAGATTGGCCCCACAATGAAAGCAGCTCCTCAATCTTGAGGTCAGTTTCCATGTGCTGGCACTGAATGTTTAATGTGAAAAAGCCTGGAGCAAAGGAATAAAGTAAGAAATATTTAATTTTACAGCGTTGGTTTGCACCATATGTTTTCCCCTTCATGAATATTTTAGGCACTTCTGCTCCACAAAGGCTTTCTCTGTCGGCTGTCAGCTCGAGTGCCTTCACATCCCTTGGGCTGGGACCAGTGGGAAATGTCACTGCACCATTCCCCCTCTTCAAAATGTCCCTACGGATGGGCTTTTGGGGATGGTGCTCCAGCATCCCACACGTCCTGCCGCCCCAGGAGCTCTCAAGCCTGGGCAGCACTCCAGGATGAGAAATGCGGTTTGTAGGATGCATGGGACACACAGCCTTGTCCCCAGGGAGAGCAAAACCCCCCAGCAGCACCAGCTGAGCGGCCTCACGGAGCGTGTGATGCTCATGGGGCTGAGCCAAGCTCCCCGTTCCCATCCTGGCTCACAATGCTCGTAACGCAGATGGGCTGACGGTTGAACTGGGTGACCTTAGAGGTCTTTTCCAACCTTAACGATGGGCAAAGCCCCCTTCCATCTCCATGCCTGGTTCCTTGCTGTGCCTGTGGCCCAGGAACCCCCAGGTCTGCAGATGGTGCTGTCAGAGGGTTGGGGATGGCCAGAAGGAGCACTTAGTGCCACACGGAAGCCACACGCCGCACAATCTCTGCCACGCAGACACACTCAGTAACGTATATATATTATATTATATTTTTATATATATATATACACATTAACAAAGAATTTGCCCCCCTCCCTACGGCCTCCCCCCAAAAAAAAAAGAAAGAAAGAAAACATAAAAAGAAAAAGCAACCCTCCCCCAAAACAAAACCGAAACAAGTATGTTACACGTGGAAGAGAACATGGCAGACAGGGTTTTCCCACGTCCCCATTCTGTACAGTGGGGTCACTGGGAGGAATGGGGCTGGCAGCACCCTCAGTCCCATGGGACCCCAACCCCCATACCCGTGGGAAACGTGCTCATTCATAACCGTGGGCCATTCATAAACCCAGATGGGCTACAACTGCCCGCGTGCCATCACGCACCGGTCGGGTTTTTGTCAGTGGGACGTGGGCTGGGGGCACAGGCTGCAGCGGGGTGAGGAGCAGGGAGGGGCCACAGCTCCCATTCCCCGGCAGTGCTGGGTTTTGCTTTTCCTCAACCAGGAGAAGACAACGTGGTTGACCCAGATGCCGTGGGAAGGAGACGCGCGGGGATCCCGCAGCAATTAGTGCAATTTCATCAGGTGCAAACGTCACGGTAATGGCTCGTGTGCTTTACTGGATGCGCTGAGTCCTCTGGCAATAAGCGGTGCCGGTGCCAGCAGAAAGCTTGGCCCCGGATTGCAGAAGCTGAAATCCATCTCCAGTGCTTGGCCGTTTGCTGGAGGTTGGCGCAGTGCGAGCAGCACACAGGGAAAAGACCCACAGGGCTTTGGGAACAAAACATCCAACCAAAAAAGGCAGCTCAGCCTCGTAAAGTGAATTGTGTTCGTGTGCTTAGCTGTGGGGCTGGCAGGTGTGACCCTGCTGCTTCCCCACCCCGTGCTCTCACATGTGTCCATGCAGTCCCTGCGTCCCTTAGTGACAAGTGTTCCCCAGGGTGGCTCACTGGTGGGGACTCCTCACTCGGCCCCTGTGCCCCCTCCCTGCTGTGGGATGAGCCCCCAGGTGCTGTCGTGTGCTGTCTGAGCCGGCCACCCACCCCTCTGGGGCTGGGCTTTGAGGTAGTTTCCTATCAGCAATGTCCAAGGGTCTCTCCCCATTGCAACAACAAAAAAAGAAAAGGCAAGGAAAGGACGGGCGGAGCTGGCCGGCCTCAGCTTTGGTCAACATGTGATGCCACCAAGGTAAGACCAGAGAGAAAAAAAGGAATTTTCAACACCATGGACCAAAGCTTGTGCATCAGCACATCCCATGCTGCCACGCTGCCCCATGGCCTCATTGGTCCCAGCTTGGTGCTTAGGTACTGGAGCACTGGTGGCAGCTCATTGGGGAACCAGGGCTCCTTCGCCACAGAGCAAACAGGATGGCTTCTCCACGGCAGGGAACAAAGTGAGTGCCAAGATTCTGGGGTCTGAAATTGAGCTTTTGGGTCAGAAAGAAC